AGGATAAAATCTTTGGCAACGTCTCAGGGAGGAGCCTGAGTATGGTACAGTATTGTGTGCAGTTTGCAAGAATTCTAGGAATAGTACAGGCATTTTGTCCACAAGAATGGAATGCCCACAGTACAGGCATGACTCTGACCCACATCTATGCCCACATTCCTGGAAACTCTTGGGAAGACCTCTCTGCCCCATATGGCCCTACTTTCTGTGAGCCCAGGGCTAATGTTCACTATACACTCAGGATCACTCAGGAGAGGAGTGCACTGTATCTGTCTAGAATTAACAGGTACCAAGTCTTCCTCAAAATCATGAAATGATGGCAGTGCTATGCAAACAATAACCCTAACAGCAACCACCGTCACCATTGCAATGTATGTTTTCATTGCCAGTCTTGTTAGGATAGTGCAGCATTGTGTCGTGAAAAATACCATCTTGTTGCGAAAAAAGCTGTCCTAGATCCTTCGAATTCTCGGTGGTTTGTTCTGTCCCAGCCTGCTTGAAACTGTCTGCCGTGTATCAAAATCGTAGGACATCAATTGTGACTGCAGCAGAAAGGGCATGTTCCTTGTGTTTTATAATGTGCAGGCTATAACAAGGCATTATCAGCAGAATTGTACAGAAATTTTAGATCTAAAGGCGTGAATTGTGTCATCCTCTGAGGTCTGCCACTCAGGAAGGTACATTTGTCCCTGTGACTCATTGATTGGTGTTTAACTGCCTAGGAAGTTGGTAAGACAGCTTTGGCTGTACTATTGATTTCAAAAGTTTTTTTCTGTCTAACAGACTGTCAGATTTATTCAGTAACGTCGATGAAGGTTAGACATCCAGGTAAAAAGACACGCCAAAAAGCAGTTACTCATTACAAGCAACTGGATATGATTTTGGAAACGGTCAGACGTTTCAGCTAGCACCCACTAGCTTTCTGATGATTCAGTCACAGTGACTGAGTCACTGACAAAAGCTAGTGGGTGGTAGCTGAAACGTCTGACCGTTTCCAAAATCATATCCAGTTGCTGCGAGTAACTGCTTTTGGGCGTATTCAATAACTTGCTTGACAGATGGGCTTGGAATCAGGGTTAGACACCTAGGGAGCAATTTTAGTGTGTTTTTTCTTAAGTTACATTTTTCAAACCTGAGCAAAAATAAATTGTGTTCTTTAATAGATCTCCATTTTGAAGTTTTTTTGCTAAAATGGTACACGGCTGACTTTCGTTTTTCTTCCAGATAAAACCGCCGCCGATTTCCCATCATCCCCTTGAGAGTGCGTGGGACGTCATGCAAAGTCTGAGGGCTGGTAAGGTCAAAGGTCGGGCTGTCCTGAAGCTGTCAAAATTGTGAAGTGAGTTGTTGGATGAAATAAAATTGTTTAAAAAAATAGCAGTACTCTTAAAACCCTTGTCCTGCAGAGCACAACAATTGTTGTTCTGCACATACTGTACCATCTATATAGCAGTCACTGTATAGGTACGATTTGGGGGTATTTCTAGTGCAATGCATCACACTGCAGCAAAACGCTATGGAATGCGAAGTAACTAAGCCAATGCAGAGCAAAAAAAATGGGGGTCTATGATCTAATTACCTTTGCCAAGAAGGTTAAATCTGATGTTTTTCAGTAGCGTTTGTGTGTATGTGGTTTAGCGCGATAACTCAAAAACCTTTAAATGGATTATTATGAAACTTGGTAGGTGGGTAGGTCTCCATGACATCCAGAAACTTTCTGGCGGCTTTCCTAGGTACTGCAGCAGAACTTCCGGTTTTGATATCTCGTGATCTGGACATGCTAGGGTCACGAATTTTGAGTGGTAAATAGCTCTTGAGCTAGGAAAGAAGTGACATGAGTTTGGGCCTCTTAGCCGCTTGTTCTGGAACTGCAGGAGCGTTAGTTGAAAAAATTTTCGAAGGAGAATAACTCAAGAATGGGTTGGCGGATTGTCGTGATTTTTGGTGTGTAAGTAGCTAAAGTGATATATTGTCATAATCAAATTACAATTATGCAAATCAGGAGCTAATTTGCATAATCAATGAGGAAATTCTTTAAATCTGATTTGTTCAATAATAGGACAATAAAAGACACGTGACATGTAATTGGGAACAAGAAAAAACATATGAGGATATAGATTATGTAAATGAAGACCTAATTTGCACAATTAATGGCAAATTGTTATAATTTCATATTTGTAACTGCTGGGAATTTCACACTTGCCGCATTTGGAAGTTAAGTGAAGGTGAACATCAATAAACATGATTTATTCAAATTATGACCTCATTTGCATAATTTATGAGGAATTTCTAGAATAGCCTTTTTTGTTAAGATAAGGCTGTCATTGGGTGAAGAATATGATCAACTGATATAATCCATGCAAATGAGGCTCTAATTTGTGAAGATTGTATAATTTGTCAACCAGAAGGGTTGACATCTTTTGGCGAAGGTATGATCGTGGAACTCTTGTTAAGACATGAAATTATTGAACAATATTGTGCCAGGAATGCCAGCAGGACAGGGGTTAAGCAAACCACCAATACTGATATTTCATGGCCAGCAACTGTTGTCTATATTAGTGAGTTGATTATGTAACAACACTGTCCCAATGTCATATGGACCCTCATGGAGCAAATAGTCCCCAAATTTTGACGGAAAATGGTTACTGGAAGGGCCCTGGGCTAAATTTTTGGGTACCACACAGAAAATAAAAGTTCATCTTGGGGCTTGTTTCTGCAGTTTTAAATGTCCAAAGTATGATTCATATGCTGACTCAAATGTGCTAATGTGAAGTCACTGTGTGTCAATATCATACAGATTGCCTTATTCAAAATACTTCCAGTTTTGCTGCCCTGAAATCGCAATGGATGCTTCTAATGGGCTGGTTCTGCCTGGATGCACTATCTAGCGTGGATCAAAGGGGTGACATATCATCAGGGAGTAGCTAAGGTCAAATGGGAGTAGTTAACGGTTGAGCTGCTGCTTCATGGGGCGTCCCAAATACTCAGAATTGATTAAATGAGCCAAGATAATCGTATGAAATTTGCTAACAAAAAACCCCAACGCAGATATAACAGTGAAACATCAACTGTATCAACTCCGAGAACGGAGTGCATGGGACCAGTTGTAACAGAAAAACATGGGGGGAAAGTAGCAAATGCATGCGCATGTACATGTACGTCAACAATTTGCATATAAATAAAGAAGCTTTTTTTCAGAAACATTCGAAATATTTGGGAGTTAACGTTTCATGCCACACCTTGTGGGTTCGTCTCTTCTTGGAACTACTTAATTTTTCAAAACGCTTACCTCATATTTGTTGCTAGACAACAAATTACGTAGGTTGTAGGTGCGTCTCTGATCCTCCAATCAGCTCTAAGTTTCACCCAGATAATTGAAACGTCTCTAAAAGGTAAAGGTCTAGGTCTTGCCGAAGCCCCGCACTTCTGTGAGCGGCACTATTGCAGTAAGAGTCCACACCAGGCTCATCGACTGACTTTCAAGGCTACTCTAGATTCGTCTCCGGGTAAATTACCTACTGCGACATCTTGGTACTCCAATCTGACAAGAGCAAAGGCAGGTAAGGCTGTATATGATCCGGTTGACTCGCACCTCACCTGATATAATATATTTCCAATTTGATACTAGTACTGGACACATAATCTCCGAGCAGATCCCTCGGTGTAATTGGCCAGGCAATATCCATTAGCCAGATAAGGTCGCCGCCCACCGACGGGGTAGAGACAAAAACCATACACAAAAACCATACGGCCATACACTGTAGCTGCAATTATATACAACAACAAACAGCATAAATAGCTAAATAGAAGTTTAACAATAACAATCTTAACAACAACTAGAGTTCAACGATCTCATACCTTCGCCAAACGATCTTAACTTTTATGACTGATCATGATCTACTAGCGAAGGTAATAAAAATTATATTTGGCATGAGTAATAACCTTGAATGTTGAAATTAGCCTAGGTATGGGGGAGTCTAGCAATGTGGTGAAGCCTTTAGTGAAGTCATCAATATGGTGATTAACGTGCAGCAGGTTTAATTACCTGTAGCATAAATTTTTGTCATTGAATATGCAAATTAAGTCCCTATTTACATGTACTGGATCCTTTGCATAATCTATATGTAGACATTGTGCTTTTCACTTAAGTTACATGAGTTATGACGGGTGCATATGATGTCAAACACATGTTGATGGACACATTGATCTGGTGATGTTTATTAATGACCTTGCAAAATGTACAAAACAGTTCTCTTCATTTCTTCATTTCTAAAACGGCAACCAAATATATAAATAATATCTATATGTTCAGATAAAATTTACACATACAAACATGTCTATGTACACCACGGATCAATATTTAATAACACTGCTGCAAAATTCTACTTCAGTGTAATGGAATTGTACAATTCACATGAGACATCACAATGTGTAGTGAGGTAGATTTTACAGCATCAACGAAACACAGACCATGTCATGATCGGAATAATATGTGTCATGAACAGTTACCAATAGACTGTCTTCATCAAGGCCGCGGACGTAAACGTGGTCAAGAAGACTACCATAGTCAGTTGTGGGAGATTGCACGAACTGCCTGAAGCCAAATTGTTCCATCACATTCAGAATTTTGGAGGGGGCATTTCAAGAGGTCAAATTAAAATCCCCAAGGACAACTGTTATCATTTTACTTGGAAGTAAGATCAGAAGTCTTGTAATCTGTTGATGAAGTCTTCTTCCGGTAAGGTCTGTGGTCTGTAAATGTTTACAATGTTAACTGTGGTGGACTCCTTGGTGATAGTAATCGCCGTATACTCCAGGCCCCCTACCGGAATATGTAGCTGTGTGGGGATAATGTCCTGTCTAGCAACAGTCATGACTCCGCCTCCTCTTCCCACTCTGTCTGCTCTGAAGGATAGCGAATGTGGCAGGAATAGATCAGCCTGTTGATTCTTGTGCAGGAATGTTTCGACGAAGCAGAAAACATCAAAGGGGAGTGCTGTTTTGTCTGCTTTCAAGTCTTGTAAATGCTCCGTATAGGAACGGATGTTGAGGAATTTGATTGTGAGATCATTGTTCCCTACAGTGGAAGAACATGACAAAGGAACCTTCGGCACAGGTACTTGTTGTAGACGGAGCATTTCATACCAAAACAGCTGTGTTCACGCGAATTGATGTTGGCTTAAAACCCAGCAGATACAAGTCATTTAAGCTTCGCACACGGCTTAGAGCAACGTAAGCTTGACCAGGCATGAAGCAACCTTTGCTTTCCATTGAGACAACAATTCTGCTCAATGTCTTGCCTTGAACTTTGTGAATGGTGCAGCCCCATGCTAATGACAGTGGAAATTGAGCACGCTGTGCTTGGACCGACCGTCTTCCCTTACCAGCGAAGAACTGAACGGTTTGTCTTTTGATGGGTACTGCTCCGGGGTAAGCCTGCTTATATTGGCTGTCGGTAATGGCTTGTTTGCCAACACGATCACTATCAAACTTAACCAGGATGGTATGGACATCAGGACCTGTGCTGTCAATGCCAACGACCGTTGCAAATGTTCCATTTACAAGTCCATCTGCAACGTCAATATTAACCGTCACCATCACCCTTGCTCCCACGGCTACAGACACGACTTCTCGCAAGCCACCCGTGTCACTTGGCTTGGTGGACATGTTAACATTAGTGAAACCCGTTAGAAGATCTTTCTTCGAGTCGATGGCTTTGATATCAAACACCTTTGACGAAAGTGTTGTCAGGTGTTTGGCATTGTGCTCGTCTACTTCTCTGTTGGTTTTGAAGACGTGCAGCGCTTCTGATGGATAGCTTGGGTCGGTTCTGGATATGACCCTGGACTTGAGAAGGTGAATGTCATCTTCTGTGCATGAGGCTGTTCTTACTCTCATTAGAAGGTTTGCAAAGTTTTGGTCTTCTTTCTGTCGCATGCTCTCCGTGAGTTCCATCATGTGGAAGTTTTCCTCCCACAGAGATCCATGCAACTTGGCGTAGCTGTCTGAAGGCAGGCCGAAGACATGATTCTGACCGACAGGCTGGAGTTGGAACAGGTCTCCGACAGCCAGGATGCTGACCCCTCCAAACCGGCTGTCAGGGTCGGGGCTGCCACAGATGTCCTGCAGACGGCGGTGGATGTGATACAGGAGGTCTGCACCGACCATCGACACCTCGTCC